CCCCCCCTTCACCTCAGAGCGCACTGCGGTCCCCCCTCCTCAGAGCACACTGCGGTCCCCCCGCCTCAGAGCACACTGCGGTGGTGCCCCACGTGTGTCTTCAGCTCCGTCTCTGGAAGAGTCCGTGTGGGGACCAGGAGCTCTCAGGAGAAGGTGGCACAGAGGCCGGTGGGGACTGGAAGCTCTCAGGGAGCAGAGGGCACTGAGGCCAGGGGGTGCCACGCTGTTTCTGAAGTGCACATGCCTTTCAGGACCTAGCTGACATGTGCCTCTCAGGCTCTGCCTCTTGTCAAAGCCAGCCATACACTGTTCTTGGGGGGCATTTAACCTCATCAAAACTTCATTTTTCATTTAGAAAAGGATGAAATATTTCTACTGTTTTCTTTCCTGGAAAAGCAGCAGCCCTCGAGTTGACCTGGACGTTTGGCGACCCCATGGCTGTCAGACTAGAGCTGGGCCCAGAGTCTCTAGCTGTCAGGTTTATGGACGCCGACAGTCAGGCCTCTCTTCCCAGGACACTTGGGTTGGACTCACATCTCCACTGGTGTCTGCAGAGGCTGTGTTCTGCCCTCACCCAACCTGCAACTCAGTGAGCGTCTGCTCCCAGCAGGGGCCCCCGGCTCCCACACCCACTGTGCAAATGAGTGAGCGTCCGCTCCCCACAGGGGTCTTCAAAACGCCTGCTGGTGCTGCGAGGCCCTTTCTGTTAGTTATTCTCAGGTGAGGGGAACTAGACAGACCCTCACTCACAGAACTATGTGATGTTCCCATGGGACCCCAGAACGGAGGGAGATACGTACTGATGGCGGCGACAACGCAAAAAACTTCTTTATCTGAACACTGTGTTGGACTGGTGCAGCTGAAGTCATTCTCTCTCTCGCAAGAATGACACCTCAGTGCTGAAACGAGGCAAAGGGAGAGTGCAGTGTGAGGCTGTCCACACCGCCACAGCTGCCCCGTGTCCTCCTCCCGGTCCGCTGTCAGGGCACAGCCAGCAGGCACCCTGTTCCCACGACCTCCGCCCCTCCAGCCCTGTCCGCTCTCCTGGGGTTTCCCTCATCCGCCCAGTGAGTGTCCACAACCCACACCCAGGTACCTCCCCACACAATACAACCCACGCCCAGCTACACCTACACAATACAACATACACCCAGACACACCCACACAATACAACCCACACCCAGCTACACCCACACACACAACCCACACCCAGATACACCCACACACACAACCCACACCCAGATACACACACACACACAAAACCCACGCCGATACACCCCCACACACACAACCCACACCCAGATATACCTTACACAACCCACACCCAGATATACCCCCACACACAACCCACACCCAGATATACCTTACACAACCCACACTCAGATACACCCACACATGAAAAACCCACACTGATACACCCCACACACACAACCCACACTCAGATACACCTACACAATACAATGTACACCCAGCTACACCCACACAATACAACCTACACCCAGATACACCCACACCCACACAACCCATGCCCCAATACATCCACACAATACAACCCATGACTAGATACACCCACACAATACAATGTACACCCAGACACATCCACACAATACAACCTACACCCAGCTACACCCACACAATACAACCTACACCCAGCTACACCCATACAACCCATGCCCAGATACACCCCCACACACAACCCACACCCAGATATACCTTACACAACCCACACCCAGATACACCCACACACAAAAAACCCATGTCGATACACCCCCACACACAACCCACACCCAGATACCCCTTACACAACCCACACCCAGATACACCCCACACACACAACCCACACCCAGATATACTTTACACAACCCACACCCAGATACACCAACATAATACAACCAATGCCCAGATACATCCTCACACAATACAACCCACGCCCAGACACACCTACACAATATAATGTACACCCAGATACACCCACAGGATACAACCCACACCCAGATACAGCCACAAAACCCTCACCCAGATACACCCACACAGTACAACCCTCACCCAGATACACACACACACAACCCACACCCAGATACACCCACACAGTACAACCCACATCCAGATACACCTACATAATACAAATGTCCACTCAGACACATCCACACAATACAACCTATGCCCAGCTACACCCATACAATACAACCTACACCCAGACACACCCACACAATACAACCCACAGCCAGACACATCCCCACAGATACAATGCAGACACAGACACCCAGGCACACATGCACACACATGTACACACAGACACACCCACGGGAACACACAGGCTCCTAGAAATGCACACACTCAACTCTGACACCATCACCCAGACA